CATGTATAAGTATACTCACACGACAGTCATGAGTGTCTGTGTGTTTGGGAGAGGGACAGAGCAGACGAAGGTGGCTATGTCTATATGTAGTGGGCAGGTATAAGTAAACTCACACGACAGTCATGAGTGTCTGTGTGTTTGGGAGTGGGACAGAGTAGACGAAGGTGGCTATGTCTATATGTAGTGGACATGTATAAGTATACTCACACGACAGTCATGAGTGTCTCTGTGTTTGGAAGAGGGACAGAGTAGACGAAGGTGGCTATGTCTATATGTAGTGGGCATGTATAAGTATACTCACACGACAGTCATGAGTGTCTGTGTGTTTGGAAGAGGGACAGAGTAGACGAAGGTGGCTACGTCTATATGTAGTGGGCAGGTATAAGTATACTCACACGACAGTCATGAGTGTCTGTGTGTTTGGGAGAGGGACAGAGCAGACGAAGGTGGCTATGTCTATATGTAGTGGGCAGGTATACGTATACTCACACGACAGTCATGAGTGTCTCTGCGTTTGGAAGAGGGACAGAGTAGACGAAGGTGGCTATGTCTATATGTAAAGGGCATGTATAAGTATACTCACACGACAGTCATGACTGTCTCTGTGTTTGGAAGAGGGACAGAGTAGATGAAGGTGGCTATGTCTATATGTAGTGGGCATGTATAAGTATACTCACACGACAGTCATGAGTGTCTGTGTGTTTGGGAGAGGGACAGAGCAGACGAAGGTGGCTATGTCTATATGTAGTGGGCAGGTATAAGTAAACTCACACGACAGTCATGAGTGTCTGTGTGTTTGGGAGTGGGACAGAGTAGACGAAGGTGGCTATGTCTATATGTAGTGGACATGTATAAGTATACTCACACGACAGTCATGAGTGTCTCTGTGTTTGGAAGAGGGACAGAGTAGACGAAGGTGGCTATGTCTATATGTAGTGGGCATGTATAAGTATACTCACACGACAGTCATGAGTGTCTGTGTGTTTGGAAGAGGGACAGAGTAGACGAAGGTGGCTACGTCTATATGTAGTGGGCAGGTATAAGTATACTCACACGACAGTCATGAGTGTCTGTGTGTTTGGGAGGGGACAGAGTAGACGAAGGTGGCTATGTCTATATGTAGTGGGCAGGTATAAGTATACTCACACGACAGCCATGAGTGTCATGTGTGTTTGGGAGAGGGACAGAGTAGACGAAGGTGGCTATGTCTATATGTAGTAGGCATGTATAAGTATACTCACACGACAGTCATGAGTGTCTCTGTGTTTGGAAGAGGGACAGAGTAGACGAAGGTGGCTATGTCTATATGTAGTGGGCATGTATAAGTATACTCACACGACAGTCATGAGTGTCTCTGTGTTTGGAAGAGGAACACAGTAGACGAAGGTGGCTATGTCTATATGTAGTGGGCAGGTATAAGTTTACTCACACGACAGTCATGAGTGTCTGTGTGTTTGGGAGAGGGACAGAGTAGACGAAGGTGGCTATGTCTATATGTAGTGGGCATGTATAAGTATACTCACACGACAGTCATGAGTGTCTGTGTGTTTGGGAGAGGGACAGAGTAGACGAAGGTGGCTATGTCTATATGTAGTGGACATGTATAAGTATACTCACACGACAGTCATGAGTGTCTCTGTGTTTGGAAGAGGGACAGAGTAGACGAAGGTGGCTATGTCTATATGTAGTGGGCATGTATAAGTATACTCACACGACAGTCATGAGTGTCTGTGTGTTTGGAAGAGGGACAGAGTAGACGAAGGTGGCTACGTCTATATGTAGTGGGCAGGTATAAGTATACTCACACGACAGTCATGAGTGTCTGTGTGTTTGGGAGAGGGACAGAGTAGACGAAGGTGGCTATGTCTATATGTAGTGGGCAGGTATAAGTATACTCACACGACAGCCATGAGTGTCATGTGTGTTTGGGAGAGGGACAGAGTAGACGAAGGTGGCTATGTCTATATGTAGTGGGCATGTATAAGTATACTCACACGACAGTCATGAGTGTCTCTGTGTTTGGAAGAGGGACAGAGTAGACGAAGGTGGCTATGTCTATATGTAGTGGGCATGTATAAGTATACTCACGCGACAGTCATTAGTGTCTCTGTGTTTGGAAGAGGGACAGAGTAGACGAAGGTGGCTATGTCTATATGTAGTGGGCAGGTATAAGTATACTCACACGACAGCCATGAGTGTCATGTGTGTTTGGGAGAGGGACAGAGTAGACGAAGGTGGCTATGTCTATATGTAGTAGGCATGTATAAGTATACTCACACGACAGTCATGAGTGTCTCTGTGTTTGGAAGAGGGACAGAGTAGACGAAGGTGGCTATGTCTATATGTAGTGGGCATGTATAAGTATACTCACACGACAGTCATGAGTGTCTCTGTGTTTGGAAGAGGGACAGAGTAGACGAAGGTGGCTATGTCTATATGTAGTGGGCAGGTATAAGTTTACTCACACGACAGTCATGAGTGTCTGTGTGTTTGGGAGAGGGACAGAGTAGACGAAGGTGGCTATGTCTATATGTAGTGGGCATGTATAAGTATACTCACACGACAGTCATGAGTGTCTGTGTGTTTGGGAGAGGGACAGAGTAGACGAAGATGGCTATGTCTATATGTAGTGGACATGTATAAGTATACTCACACGACAGTCATGAGTGTCTCTGTGTTTGGAAGAGGGACAGAGTAGACGAAGGTGGCTATGTCTATATGTAGTGGGCATGTATAAGTATACTCACACGACAGTCATGAGTGTCTGTGTGTTTGGAAGAGGGACAGAGTAGACGAAGGTGGCTACGTCTATATGTAGTGGGCAGGTATAAGTATACTCACACGACAGTCATGAGTGTCTGTGTGTTTGGGAGAGGGACAGAGTAGACGAAGGTGGCTATGTCTATATGTAGTGGGCAGGTATAAGTATACTCACACGACAGCCATGAGTGTCATGTGTGTTTGGGAGAGGGACAGAGTAGACGAAGGTGGCTATGTCTATATGTAGTGGGCATGTATAAGTATACTCACACGACAGTCATGAGTGTCTCTGTGTTTGGAAGAGGGACAGAGTAGACGAAGGTGGCTATGTCTATATGTAGTGGGCATGTATAAGTATACTCATGCGACAGTCATTAGTGTCTCTGTGTTTGGAAGAGGGACAGAGTAGACGAAGGTGGCTATGTCTATATGTAGTGGGCAGGTATAAGTTTACTCCCACGACAGTCATGAGTGTCAGTGTGTTTGGGAGAGGGACAGAGTAGACGAAGGTGGCTATGTCTATATGTAGTGGGCATGTATAAGTATACTCACACGACAGTCATGAGTGTCTGTGTGTTTGGGAGAGGGACAGAGTAGACGAAGGTGGCTATGTCTACAAGTAGTGGGCATGTATAAGTATACTCACACTACAGTCATGACTTTCTCTGTGTTTGGAAGAGGGACAGAGTAGACAAAGGTGGCTATGTCTATATGTAGTGGGCAGGTATAAGAATACTCACACGACAGTCATGAGTGTCTGTGTGTTTGGGAGAGGGACAGAGTAGACAAAGGTGGCTATGTCTATATGTAGTGGGCAGGTATAAGTATACTCACACGACAATCATGAGTGTCTCTGTGTTTGGAAGACGGACAGAGTAGACGAAGGTGGCTATGTCTATATGTAGTGGGCAGGTATAAGTATACTCACACGACAGTCATGAGTGTCTGTGTGTTTGGGAGAGGGACAGAGTAGACAAAGGTGGCTATGTCTATATGTAGTGGGCAGGTATAAGTATACTCACACGACAGTCATGAGTGTCTGTGTGTTTGGGAGAGGGACAGAGGAGACGAAGGTGGCTATGTCTATATGTAGTGGGCAGGTATAAGTAAACTCACACGACAGTCATGAGTGTCTGTGTGTTTGGGAGAGGGACAGAGTAGACGAAGGTGGCTATGTCTATGTAGAGGGCATGTATAAGTATACTCACACGACAGTCATGAGTGTCTCTGTGTTTGGAAGAGGGACAGAGTAGACGAAGGTGGCTATGTCTATATGTAGTGGGCAGGTATAAGTATACTCACACGACAGTCATGAGTGTCTGTGTGTTTGGGAGAGGGACAGAGTGGACGAAGGTGGCTATGTCTTTATGTAGTGGGCATGTATAAGTATACTCACACGACAGTCATGAGTGTCTCTGTGTTTGGAAGAGGTACAGAGTAGACGAAGGTGGCTATGTCTATATGTAGTGGGCAGGTATAAGTATACTCACACGACAGTCATGAGTGTCTGTGTTTGGGAGAGGGACAGAGTAGACGAAGGTGGCTATGTCTATATGTAGTGGGCATGTATAAGTATACTCACACGACAGTCATGAGTGTCTCTGTGTTTGGAAGAGGGACAGAGTAGACGAAGGTGGCTATGTCTATATGTAGTGGGCATGTATAGGTATACTCACACGACAGTCATGAGTGTCTCTGTGTTTGGAAGAGGGACAGAGTAGACGAAGGTGGCTATGTCTATATGTAGTGGGCATGTATAAGTATACTCACACGACAGTCATGAGTGTCTCTGTGTTTGGAAGAGGGACAGAGTAGACGAAGGTGGCTATGTCTATATGTAGTGGGCATGTATAGGTATACTCACACGACAGTCATGAGTGTCTCTGTGTTCGGAAGAGGGACAGAGTAGACGAAGGTGGCTAAGTCTATATGTAGTGGGCATGTATAGGTATACTCACACGACAGTCATGAGTGTCTCTGTGTTTGGAAGAGGGACAGAGTAGACGAAGGTGGCTATGTCTATATGTAGTGGGCATGTATAGGTATACTCACACGACAGTCATGAGTGTCTCTGTGTTCGGAAGAGGGACAGAGTAGACGAAGGTGGCTATGTCTATATGTAGTGGGCATGTATAAGTATACTCACACGACAGTCATGAGTGTCTCTGTGTTTGGAAGAGGGACAGAGTAGACGAAGGTGGCTATGTCTATATGTAGTGGGCAGATTTATGTATACTCACACGACAGTCATGAGTGTCTGTGTGTTTGGGAGAGGGACAGAATAGACGAAGGTGGCGATGGCTGCCAGGTAGAGGTAGATGGTGATGCCGAAGTAGTCAAACATGTAGAACACACCACTATACTCCACACTGTGATGACACATAGTGTGGGCATTAGCACTGGCTATGTGGGTGGTCATCATCGCACCTATAAACAGACTGGTTTCATGCTTCAAATAGCTGAACCACATTTGTCTTCCCATGTTTATGCAGTGCACACGTCTTCCCCATCCTATTCAGCGAAAATAAACTTCTATTTATAAAATAATTGATTTTTTTTTCGCTTAACTTGATGGGGAAGACTGCATAATGAATAAGGCCATTTTCAATTTTCTAGGTGGATGAGGGTTAATGTGATTTACAGCTTTCCTCTAAAATAAAAAATTCCTAATATTAACTCAAGGAACCATTAGCGGCCTTACACGCGAATATTTCAAACTTTCAGATTTTTCCCGAAATTGAGATCAATTTCCGAGATTGAGAACAATTTGCCAAATTTGCTAATATCGATCGAATTGGGATTGAAAAGTCTGAATTGAATAACAAGAACCCATCTGACATTAATTTGTGGTTCCTGATTGTGCATGGAAAAAAAGTTTGAAAAAATCACCAAGACCTATATGAGAGTACTCACTATGTTCATTACTCTTAACAACACAAAACCACCCGACAAAAGGTAAATATAAGAAGGGTGAATACAACAAAGGGTAATTGTAAGAAAACCATATGGTCTTGTGATCGTCTCTCTGAGTGTCAATATATGATTTCTTTTTCTCGAAGACGATATATTCTTCAACATTCAAAAGTGAATTGAATTGCTTCCATTCAATTGCAACCCATCAACTATTAATATTCGATTCAGATGAAAAAAATAAAGTGGAGACATTTATAGAAAATTGAGGAAAATGACGATGAAGAAGGCAAAAGTTAGACGCTTACCTGCTACGAGTGTAATGGGCCACGCCTCAGGAGTGGAGAAGATACTTCGTTCCATGCAGTGACGCCAGAACCATACGAAGATACACACCACGCTGAACAGAACAATTAACTGCTATCATTGCGCAAAATTTCGCTATGCTAGAAGTAAAAACCGGAAATGTTACTTCCAGCTTTTACTAGCAGGTGGATCTCGCTTACGATTCTTCAAACAAGCTTAGTGAGGTTGGTAATTACTTTCTACAATTTTTCAAAATGTTCTCGCAAAGAGGCAGGCTGGTTAGTCATAGGGCAAATAAATTGAACTTTCTCGATTTCAAGGTGCAAATGAATGAATTTTTTCTTCCATGTGTTTGCCATTTTCTTTGCAAAATTTTTTAAGTGTAAGACATAGCTAACTGGCAGTTGGAGAAGAGTAATGAATGCAATGAAATTGATACAGAAAACTGGATCAATAAGCAAAACTTTTATTTCACGGGGATATCTGATAATTAATTCTCTTTTTCGAAATAAGAAGTCGATCACGTTTTTTGCGACCTTTACTCTTTTTCTGTTCGATAAGGGATTTTGCCTTCCTTTCAACAATGGAAAAGCACTGAACTAAAAAAAATCGCAAGTCGAAATCACAAGTCAGAAATCGAAAAAATCAAAATTGAACGTAAGCAAATTTGAAGACTTCCTGAAAAACAAACAAAAAAATCAGCAAGACATATATAAGAGTGTTCACTACGTTCACTGCTCTTGAAAAGAGGCGAAACGCAGCTTCCAACACTTGCGATACAACACAAACATAAAAGAACATAAATCAAATTAAAATTTAAAGGTAAAAAAAATTAGGTAAAACAAAACTTTCCTATGTCTCGATAAAAAACAAATAAGGGCCCGGCTGAAGCTGAAGTAAAAAACAATTAGGGGCCCAGCTGAAACTGTTTGATGGTGAGTGAGTTTGCTATATTGATGCAGTACGAAAAATGTGATATCAAAAACAGGACTTTGCCCAAAACCTTAGTTTGTTTCTCTACAAAATTAAGTGAGAGTAAAAAAACTTGAGATAATCAATTTTCCAAAGGAAATAACATTTCTTTTATAAAAAAACTAAGGAGTCGCCGAATCTGTAAGAACCATTATCGCAACATGTTCTTTCAATTAAATTTTTCATCTCAGACTTAATTGAGTAAATTTTAGGAAAAAATTTTTTAAACGGTCAAAAGGTCAAACACACGGTCGAAAAGATCTCCAAAATGGATTAATATTTTCTGCAAAAAGCAGGTTAGTGACGCATGAGCAGAGAACAATCCAACAACCGGGTTTCTCGATTGAACACAAGCTGAGAATTGCCAAGTTACTTTTCGCGTTAAGTCAAAAGGTATTCAAAAAACAATCGAAGTTTCAAAACTTCGACATATTTTAAGGCCAAAACGTTTTTCTTCCAAAAACTGGGCATGGCCAGTTATAAAGATAGACTTTCAACAACCTTCCTTTTGTTTCGATTAAACCTAGGATATCAGATTTGAAAAGTCAACAAACAAAAAATTTCAAATTTCCGAGAAGCATTGCTTTCTTTGTGAAAAAATAAGGCGTAGCCGTTTATTCAAGAGAGATTCACTTAATCTGTAATATCGATTGAACCCAAAGTCTAAGACTTGGGAGTGTAGTTCTCGAAAAAAATCAAAACAAACTTTTCAAAACAAAGGTCGAAAATCACAATTGGCGAGGGCCATAACTTTTGATATTAAAAAATTTGAGTCTTCGCATGAACAAATCAGCTTCCCTTAACTTGCTTTTTGAATTGAACCCAAAATCTCAAAACCTTAACTATTGCTCTAATGAACTATGAGTAAAAATTTTCGTGACTTTAGAATTTTCTCAGAGACATTTCGGAACTTTCCCGCAGGTTTAGTTTTCGAGAAAAAGAGAATTTTTTCAAAAATGGTAAAAAAAATGACTTTTCTGAGGGCCTTGATTTTTTGTGAAGAAATCAAGGCTGTAGAAATCGGGTTCAGGTAAAAAGAGACTAGGGGATTATGCAGGCACACAGGGTAAGGGCGCACTTCCCATTGGTACCACTTTTTGAAAATCGATGTAGTGTAGTTTTTCAGAAAAACTTAATTTTTTGTAAAAATTTTAAAAAAAACTTCCAAAATAATTAAATAAAAAAAAGAATTCCATACATTTTCATAATAACAGTCATTATCAAACAGAAACTTACAAAAACTCAAAAAATGTTGTTAAAGCCCCATCCTCCTCAACACACACACCCACACGCACACAAAAACTAGAGGCCCAGTTTAAGCAGGAGGTACCTGTTTGATAATTTATTTACTTTGATGAATTAACTATTTCAAAAACTTGAAACTTAGGTTTCATCCAAAATCTTAATAGTTGCTGTAATGAAATATGATATAAAAACTTTTGTGAGTTTGGAATTTTGCCTGACACATAATTTTTTTGTTATAATTTAAGGTGTATCATTTTATATGTTGCGAAGCCTTTTTGCAACATGTTGCCTCGATTAAACCATTGATATCAGCTTGAGTTGTTTTTAGGAGGAGCCAAAAATTTAATTAAAAAAAACGGATAAGAAATCGAAACAATGACTGTTCAGAAGGGCATAACTTTTTTGTTGAAAAGTCTGGACGTGAGCCCTTCCTTACACAGGGGAGCTTCGCTCAACCCTTTCTTTTGATTGAACACAAAATCTCAGATTTCGGAGGGTAGAAAAACTAAAAGGTTTTAAAAAACGGTCAAAAAATTGAAAATTTGACTTTTTAGTTTCATAAAATTTTTGTGAAAAATTTGGCGCAGCCGCTGATGCAGCGTAGTTTACCATAACACTGATTGAAATCAAAACTTCAGATTTCGAAGGGTACTTTTTGAGAAAAATTAAAAATTTGAAAAGATGGATTACAACGTCCTCCCACTCAAATTTCCAAAGGCTCTAGAAATTGGGTTAAGGTAAAAAACAGAGTAAGGTACACTGCAGGCACATATGACAGTAGGCAGACTTCCCATTTGTACCATTTTTTTTTTTCGAAAAACAGTCGAGTACTTTTGAAAAAAACTAACTTGACAATTTTTCCAAAGCGTCTCAAAAACAGAAAAAATAATAAAAAAAACAGGCTCTCATACATTTTCATACACCTGTTTTAATCGAACACTAAAGTTTTTGCTGAACAAACGACGCAATTTTAAGCAAATAAAACGATATAAAACTTAAAAAGCCGAGATAAAAGAAAAAAAGAACAATAAAATGAAATGTTAAAAAAGACTCATAAATTAATAGAAAAAAGTTGTTAAAGCCCCCATCTTCTTCCACATACACACGCCCACTATTTTATCCCTCATTAAACGACGCCATTAAAGGACACTAAGCCGATATAATAAGGGCCGAAATTTATGAAACCGAATAAAAACATAATTTCGAATAGGACGGATATTTAAAAGATTAACACGCTCAATATATGTCTCTTGCAGTTTCCAAGAGATTAATGAGCCCAGCAGATGAGTCCTGTGAACAAAATTGTTCACGGGAAAAGGTCTAGTACCCAATTGCAACACCCTTGGTAAAAAATTACGATCCCGAACATGGATAATTCGTTACAAATTTCACTATTATACAGAAAAGAAAAAACAGTATTCCCTTCGACAAGCTTTGATAGCACTGGTTCAGCTGCTCAGCTGGTCCAATTTTAAGTGTCTGAATATTCAACTTTTGGATAAGCAATTCACGCCATTAAAAAATAGTGTTCAGTTCGACGAAAAAACTATCGATTAATTTCGAGATCTGTTCTATATTAACTTATTTTTTTCTTGTCTGTTTTACACGACAAGATGCGTGAATCGAAATAATTCTTCCTTGTTTCACCCACTGAAAACGGGCAGTAACATCCGTTATCCTTACCAAACTTCAGATGAAAAGAGTAATAAATTGTATCCAGGTCCTTTCAATTGCGATTTAACGAGCATAGAAAATACAGTAGCCAATTCGAGTTGTCTTTAATTGCAAGTTGTCGGATGAAGCATGTTTTAAGCCATAAATGTGTGTCATACCTCAAAATAGCCGTCCAAATATTGAGCGACTCATTGTGTATCTCAAAGATAGAGCCCAGATAACTGGTGAACTTCTGGTGTGGTTCCCTGTAATGACCTCTAATGTATGCTTCCCGCAACCCTCCTGGCATTTCGTTCACACTAAGTTCATGATGCACAAGTAGATCACGCGGACTTTGCTCGAGAACATTCTTGAGATGCTGTGTAATTTTGCGGTTCTTCAGAATACTTGCCGGACTTTCAGATCTACCAGAAGAGTTTAATGTTTCTTTCATTGGAGTGCTAGACATCCTAGTTTTGTCAGTTGCTTTGAGCCATTTTATGTACCTATCTGAAAGCAACCACGAGTATATGAAGAGCGTATATACATATTCTGCATCAATGCAAGGCCACAATACATCGTGCATTTAATAACATGGGGGCTTATAAGACTCTCCAGCTTCAATTATAGCAAAAACGGCGCCGAATTCCTTTGTGAGTAATCATTTTTATTGCAGCTCTCCGCTATTCCTGGACATTATTTCATTTGATAAAAGGGCCTCGCTTGATACCGCAAGCTCTACTGGTCCAATGAACTGAAATTGAAACTAATTGAAGTCACTTAGGTTTCACGATCAGTCAAAAATCGGTCAATTTTCAGTAACACATTTGAACAATCGTTCTTTGTATTTGAACAATCGAACTCGTATTTCGATTGTATTCGAAACAATCGAACTTTGAGTGTTGTTTTACTTGACAACAGTTGAACCAGCATGTAGCAGAAACTAAGGCCACGAACAAAGAAATTAACGACTACAAAGATGAACAAGACTGCTCGTATCAGGGCGAAGCCCTGAATGTTCCGACTGCCTTTTAAGGTTTATGGATCAGCAGTAATAACACAAAAAAATAAATGAAATGAAATAAAATGAATTTTTTTTTTAATTTGAAACTTTTTATGAAAATCATCCCCCCACACGCCATATAAAGTACAAAAAGACAGATTTCGTTCCTTGTAAAAAATCAATTATGGCAAATAACCTTCGCTCAATCAAATTGGAACGATTTATAAGACGGATTAAATCTCCGCTTACGCGTTAATAGCGCTAATTATATCGCGCATTAATTGTCCCAAATTGGTCAAAATGGCCAAAATGGCAATCTTTAAACCCTCATAACTTTACGCAAAATGATCACAGGTGAAATATCTTTTCAAATTAAGGCTCAAGACAACAATGGCTTTCGAATGATGTAAAAAAAATTCCGTCAAAAATGGCTAGTTAAAAAGTCGAAATTTGTCTGAAGAAAAAAAAACCCACCCGAGCACAAATATTCCGTTACTTTCGTATCGAAAGTCGGAACAACAAGACTGCTCGTATCAGGGCGAAGCCCTGAATGTTCCGACTGCCTTTTAAGGTCTATGGAGTAGCTTGAAAAAAATTAAATGTAATAAAACAAAATCCATTTTTTTTAAATTTGAGATTTTTTGTAAAAATCATCCCCCACACGCCATGTAAGGTACAAAGTGATAGATTTCGCTCCTATTAACAAATCAATTAGGGCGAATAAGCTTCCTTAAACCAAATTGGAACAATTTCGAAGACGGATTATATCTCCGGTTACGCATAAATAGCGCGAAATACATCGCGCGTTCTTTGTCCCAAATTGGGTTAAGATTAGACAAAAAATGAACATTGCAAAAGTTGCACAGAATTTCACCAGAATTATTATGGTGTAATTTTTCTCCTAAATTCTCAACCAAAATTGTACCCCAAAAAAGGGTCTTTTTTTTTCAATTAATCAAAAAATACGCTGAAACTACTTTGTTAATTGATAAGAAAATTATATCACAAGAAGCCCCTTATACAGCCCAACAAAGTTCAAGAAGGGTTAAATCTCCAAAAACTAGTATAAGAGAGAAATTTTTTTATTTGATAGTCAATAAATGTGATTTTTACTAAATAAGACCCAGAACCTCTGTTTAAAAACAAATTTTAAACAATTTGCGCAAACTTTTGGAGATTTAACTTTTCTTAAACTTTGGTGGGCTGTGTAAGGGGCTTTAGATATACTTTTCTTATCAACTAACAAAGTAGTTTCAGCGTATTTTTTTATTAATTGAAAAAAAGACCCTTTTTTGGGGTAAAATTTTGGTTGAGAATTTAGGAGAAAAAATTACACCATAATAATTCTGGTGAAATTCTGTGCAACTTTTGCAATGTTCATTTTTTGTCTAATCTTAACCCAATTTGGGACAAAGAAGCCATTTTATGTACCTATCTGAAAGCAACCACGAGTATATGAAGAGCGTATATACATATTCTGCATCAATGCAAGGCCACAATACATCGTGCTTTTAATAACATGGGGGCTTATAAGACTCTCCAGCTTCAATTATAGCAAAAACGGCGCCGAATTCCTTTGTGATTAATTATTTTTATTGCAGCTCTCCGCTATTCCTGGACATTATTTCATTTGATAAAAGGGCCTCGCATGATACCGCAAGCTCTACTGGTCCAATGAACTGAAATTGAAACTAATTGAAGTCACTTAGGTTTCACGATCAGTCAAAAATTGGTCAATTTTCGGTAACACATTTGAACAATCGTTCTTTGTATTTGAACAATCGAACTCGTATTTCGATTGTATTCGAAACAATCGAACCTTGAGTGTTGTTTTACTTGACAACAGTTGAACCAGCATGTAGCAGAAACTAAGGCCACGAACACCGAAATTAACGACTACAAAGATGAACAAGACTGCTCGTATCAGGGCGAAGCCCTGAATGTTCCGACTGCCTTTTAAGGTTTATGGAGCAGCAGTAATAACACAAAAAAATAAATGAAATGAAATAAAAAGAATTTTTTTTATTTGAAATTTTTTATGAAAATCATCACCCCACACGCCATATAAAATACAAAAAGATAGATTTCGTTCATTGTAAAAAATCAATTATGGCAAATAACCTTCGCTCAAACAAATTGGAACGATTTATAAGACGGATTAAATCTCCGCTTACGCGTTAATAGCGCGAATTATATCGCGCATTAATTGTCCCAAAATAATCAAAATGGCAATCTATAAACACTCATAACTTTACGTAAAATGATCACAGGTGAAATATCTTTTCAAATTTAAGCTCAGGACAACAATGGCTTTCGAATGATGTTAAAAAAATTCCGTCAAAAATGGCTAGTTAAAAAGTCGAAATTTGTCTGAAGAAAAAAAAACCCACCCCGAGCACAAATATTCCGTTACTTTCGTATCGAAAGTCGGAACAACAAGACTGCTCGTATCAGGGCGATGCCCTGAATGTTCCGACTGCCTTTTAAGGTCTATGGAGTAGCTTGAAAAAAATTAAATGTAAAAAAACAATATCCATTTTTTTAAATTTGAGATTTTTTGTAAAATATTTTTCGCTCCTATTAACAAATCAATTAGGGCGAATAAGTTTCCTTAAAACAATTTAGAACGATTTCGAAGACGGATTATATCTCCGGTTACGCATAAATAGCGCGAAATATATCGCGCGTTCTTTGTCCCAAATTGGGTTAAGATTAGACAAAAAATGAACATGCAAAAGTTGCACAGAATTTCACCAGAATTATTATGGTGTATTTTTTTCTCCTAAATTCTCAACCAAAATTTTACCCCCAAAAAGGGTCTTTTTTTTCAATTAATCAAAAAATACGCTGACACTACTTTGTTAATTGATAAGAAAATTATATCACAAGAAGCCCCTTACACAGCCCAACAAAGTTTAAGAAGGGTTAGATCTCCAAAAACTAGTATAAGAGAGAAATATTTTCATTTGATAGTCAATAAAAGTGATTTTTACTATAAAAGACCCAGAACCTCTGTTTAAAAACAAATTTTAAACAATTTGCGCAAACTTTTGGAGATTTAACTTTTCTTAAACTTTGTTGGGCCGTGTAAGGGGCTTCTTGTGATATACTTTTCTTATGCTCAGGACAACAATGGCTTTCGAGTGTAGTTTCAGCGTATTTTTTGATTAATTGAAAAAAAGACCCTTGAAAAACAAAATGAACATTTTGGTTGAGAATTTCGGAGAAAAAATTACATCATAATAATTCTGATGAAATTCTAAGCAACTTTTGTTCTCTTCACTTTTTGTCTAATCTTAACCCAATTTGAGAAAAACGCGTTTGAAAATTCACGTTTTGTCCGGATAATTTAAATCAGCACTGTACCAACTCAACTTGAGTGTTCAATACACTGGACACAGCAGTTCATTGGAAATTTTTATTTGGCTGGAAATTCTGAAAATTGAAATCCTTTTGAATCTCGAAATCAATCACGCTTTTTTCGCCATTTGAGCAAATTTTTATCAATCGAGAGCGTAATTTGCCTTCCTTTATTTATTTGAGCCTAAACAATTTTTGAAACGTTTTCTTGAAAGTTATAAATACGTATCGTCAATAAAATCATTGACATTTAAAGGAAATTAAATCCAGCTAATTGCCTGAGTTATTTTGGCCGGCTGATCCAACTCTAGGTTCAATCATCTCAAAACTACGTTTCAACATTCCAGATTTATTTTATAGAACTCTTGAACTTTTCGAACACTGCTGTGCACTTCAGTTTCACATCTTTCAATAAAATTTATAGCACTTTTAAGAGATTCTATTTTGAAATCAGATAGCATATCAGAAGGCACAAAATAATAAGAAGCATACATCATTAGCTCTGATTTTTTGTCATTCGCTTTTTTATTGAAGTTTTCACGCATTGTCCAAAGTCTCTTAACTAAAACTTGGTCATTTACAGGAAATGAAAAATGAATTACGCGTTGCATTTTACCAAGTTTTGCAAATAAATCGTACAAATTTGGATTCTTATAATTGAGGATACTCAAATGGCCATCAGTTATTGCGTCGTTTATAATCAGGATTTTGCAGACATCTGAGAAAGATTGGAAGTCCGACAGAACTTTTGCTTGGTCGCTTGCAGAGCAGTCAGATGCGATAGCCGAAGAACTGAAACAAACAAAATTGAGAATAACTTCTGCGAAGCTTTCTATTTTAGAAAAAACACAGGCGAAGCTGATCTTCGCACCACTTGCGATACACAGTTAAAACGCAGCGCGGCAAACTAGCCGGCAGAAAATGAGACGTAATCCGCAAAGTTAAAAAAAAAATGAAAAGAAAGCAAAAAATTAAACCTATCAGTTTTTATATACTTGTCTAGACTAGATTTGTACTGAAAGTTCATTTTGAAAAAGAAAACATGCCAAGACAGTTCAATGTTAGCATCGAAAGAAACTCTTGCAAAGCCGACAATACTTGAGCAAACACCCGTGGAGCCGATATTTTTTCATGCGTTGGAAACTTTTATCGCTCATCAATGACCCAATAAAATACTACTAAGTCGGTATCAGATAGACCGAAATCATTTAATCCGAATAAAAATTTTAAAAAAACCAAAAACCAAATCGTATTCATTCGGTAATAATATAACAACCCACCAATAAAAGCAAACTTTTAACGGGTATTTTGATTTGGATTAATTCCACCGAAACCATCCTCAGAACAAAGTTATTAATGGGGAAAATGTCTAGTAACCGGTTTCAATACCTTTGCTTATCGCAGGGGTAATACGTATTAAACTGGTTCACTTTTACTTTTTTACAAACACTTTTACAAACATTTTTTTTCCATCAGAAACGCATAATTTGTCTGTTGATGCGTAGGAGATAATTTTATTCCATTATGCCCATTGAAATGCTTGACAAGAAAACCCAGCAAAAAAAACAACCAAGCCACAAATTTGGAATAGCAGTGGAAAAAACTCTGCTTTCGGTTGATTTTTTTTTCATACTAATCAAATACCACAAAAACCTCGTGCGACGCCGAATGAAACACTATATAACCGCTCATATCAATTAAAGCTTTTTCAAACAACTCTCGAGCGGAGACTGGCCTATTAGCATGTGTGATGAGTAGCATGCCCAATTGAAAGAATGCAATTTGAACAATCGATTTTTCTCGTTTTATTTACTGAAATTTGCAATTTCTATCAATGCACTTATCCAAATTTTTAATTAGGCGAATGTCAAGTTTTAAATTCCTTAACAAATCAAGTGGTTTTCAAAACTATTTGAAAATTTAGGGTTATTTGTTTTTATTCTGAATGCACAAACAATCAAAACAATTACTGCAGGCTAATAAGCACAATCGCTAATCGCTACATCCCCCGCTTGACTAGAGCAGTAAGCAAAAAGAAAAAAAGAAGATTTATTTCTCAAGAGATACTGGTTATAAACCAACTAAGCATTATATATACAAAAAAACTCTCAGAGGACAGCCAACGAACCCACTTGGGTTGCACACAGCTACCATTTACACAAAATTCACATTAAAAAACTTGACATTCAGTTTATTAGTCCGTAAAAAACAATTTAATGCGAAACTAATTAGGTTGAAAATCTTTTAGTATTAATAATGCAAGTTATACCGAATTTTCATATTCTCGCAATTGAAGCTCTTATGATTAGCAAAACATTTTATTTACCGGCCGTCTGACTGATCAAATATGGTTTAGTTAAGGTCACACGATAAAACGTTTCTCCAGAAATTCACGCAAAAAAAAACTTATTTGGCTCTGAAACTCGCTTGACGTAGGCCCTCATTCCCGATTTAATTAAATTGCTTGAACTCGCTCACTAATCGGTTACTGCTTCTACTAACTGTGCCATGTCTCAATATACTCCATAACACCCACAGGGCATGATGGAAGCTTTGTAGACAGCGGACACCTAACTGAGCCCATGCGGCAGTAACCAGTGAACATGACCAAAATGAGGTTCAGTTTGTAGGATACAAACTGAGCCCAAACTAATCGATATGCAACAATTGACAAAAGCTCAATCTGGTATTGTATTGAACTCAACTCAGATCGAATTCAAGTAAAAATAAACGTGGAAAGCATGTTGTTTTCTAAGAAAAAATGAACTATTAAGCAATGTATCACTTCTAAAAACTGAGCTTCATTCAAGTTTTGCGTCTCTAAAGGGACCAAGATATTTTCTTGTAACAATTTCAACAAATTGGATCCTCAGTGGTTCATGAGAACTACTGCACATTCGTTCTGGCTAAACGTACTTCCATAAGCACTTTTTCAATGATCTAGTAATTGTTCCGAGTTGAGCCCCATGTTAGACAAAGTTGAACTCGAGCAAACTCTAGACTCGCAAATGGCAACAATAATAACAGAAATAAAAACAACACTCCTGAAAACTCTTCACGAAGTTAGAGCCCGTGAAATGCAAATGCTTAAAAAGCAAAGCCTCGATCAAGCTAGAACTAAACGAAGGATATAACCGCAGAGACAATGTCCGAATAATTGGAACTCTCGAAAACCCCAAATGTCGATGAAAACGGAAAAAGTATGAGAGCAGTGGACAAAGAATTGAGAAGGTAACCAAAATAGCCACCGCAATAGGAGCTTAAGTATTAGAACCTGCGAGAAAACATCGAGTATTAGAACCATCGAGTTCCTGCGAGAAAACATCAACCACTTACTATGATCGTTCGCTTCGCAAGAAGAATCGGCTCAGCAAATCCCTTGAGGAGTAAGAAGAAACTTTTTCAGTCTTCCACGATGAGAGACGTGAAAATATTTCAGGATTTGGCTGCGCCGAGAGTCAAGTTCCTCAATTTGATGAAAAAAGATGCCCGAATAGAATATGCATCGACGCGCGAGGGATTTATTTAAAACAAATAAATATACAACAACAACAACGAAGTGGTACAAAGTAAAAGATGTCTATATGAAGGAGGAATACAACTGGAGTAATCATTCAATGACGTTCAGAGCTGCTTCTTAAAACAATGAATCCACATCTTCAAGTCAAGAAAGTTCTAGTAGTGCTAAAAAACTACTGTTGCACATTCTGGAGGCTACTACAAAACCACGAAGAACAAGAAGCGCTTATACGCAGTCTTGAGTCATCAGCTAACAGAATAGCTTTAATTGAGACGTGGCTAAATGCAAGAGACGAAATGAACTGTTGTACAAATAAAGTGTTTGAACCATTGATATCAAAAAGAAGAATTGCAACAGTAGGAGGAGGTGCTTTGAATCAAGATGACAAAAAATTGAAGGCATCAAAGAAAGAAATGCAAACTTGCGGAATATATAAAAGTACCAGTTAGAATAATGAAAAAAACTCAAATTTATACAATTTATTCTTGATATACAATCCTCCCAGAACTGACCAAATGTCTTTTAACGACCAACTTGACCCTCCTCTTGAGCAGCTGTCACTAAAAATTCTCCCGTCATTATGTGGCGATATTAACATCGATGCGTGATGATCTAGTCACATCAAAAATACTTAGGTGTCATAATAACGAGTAGATAAAGTTTCTCAATCAAGAACGAACAAGAATCACAGAAATGGCACAAACGTGCTTCGCTCACCATAAAACTGCATCTTTTAAATACTCAAGGATTTTCGGATTACATTCCAGTTGAGTTACAAATGTTCATTGAGGAAATCGAAAATAAAGAATAAATCAGCTAAAAACACGCGTCAGTCATAAAAACAAGACCACATTCAGAAGTACAAAACTGAGCTTGAAAAGCATTTGCATTTATTTAATCTTTAGCAAAATAATTCAAATAAATCTTTTAAAGAGTTTCAGGAAATATTCAGTCGAGTACTTCCTAAACTTGCCCCAATAGGGATAAGAAACGTATGCATTATGAACAGTTAGCTTGTGGTTTCCAAATACATTTTAAAAAAGCTGATTAAAAAAATCGACTTAATCGCGATCGGATATAAAACTTTTCGAATCGATTGGCTTTACAAACATACAAAAAAGTCGAAAAAGAATCGAAGAAAGCTAAATCAAGATTCTACTATGAAACAATTAAAAACTGTATTCGTGACTCAAGATAAATTTACAGGTTTTTAAATTCAATTTAAAGAAAATCCAGAAAAATCAGGCCATTAGCGAATAGTTCGATAACAATGCTTGCAAGATTACTTTTTAAACTGATATAAACATAGAACTAAACAATTTTTTCGCCAGCATCTTTTGAGTCATTTACATTTATCCTTGTCATGAACAGAAAATAAGTAGAAAAAATTGATCAGTTGAAAAGAAAGACATCAACAGGAATCAATAACATCAGTTATACACTAATCAAGGCTGCATCCAGTGAAATTGTTCATCATCTGACCAAACTGATAAATTTTTCAATGAAAAGCGGAAACTTTCCTGCATAATAAGCAGAGCTAAAACACTTCTTTTTAAAGTGACTTAAAGTTAGGTATAGGAAATTACTGACTTAGTTCTCCGCTCAAGTGTCTGTATAATAGGATATATAAACTAATGGAGGAACATTAACTGTTTTATTGCAAGCATTATGAATTCAGGTCAAAGCATAATACAATAGATGAAATAGCGGAATTCGCTCCTACAAAGGTATTATTGAAACTTCTGATTGGTTCAAAAAAGCGTTTGATAAACTGAATGATTCCATCTCAATTTAAAAAAATTGGGTTACTATAGCTTGGATGGGCCATTTTCAACTTGAATAAAAAACTAACTTTCAAATAGATTTCAATGCTTTGAAATGAACGGTGTACAATCATCTCAGGCAAAAGTTCAAAGCGGATTTTTTCAAGGCTCAATATCTTGCAGAATTCAAGAAATTAATAATGATTTGGATAAAGTCTCTCAGCGTTTAAAGGCAAACAAGTTAAGTCTAGGCTTTAAAACAGCAGTACAAGTAAATAAAACAAACAAAACGGCTTCTAGCAATTAAATTTCATTGATAACTGATTTTGTTAAACTAGTTGTTAACTAGAAAAACGTCTATATTCCAGTTCGATAACGCCTGCTAATCGCAAGCGTAAGAATTATGTGAACGTTACATTACCATTTAATTAACATAGTCGTTAAAGCGCTTTGCCCAGACAAAATCAGTCTCGTTTTGCAATTTTAACAGCTTTTGTAACTGACTAACTCACGAATAAAGGAAAATACCCAAATACTTTCTCTACTTTCCAAATTTCAATTTTATATCGCAATATTTTACTCAAGTTGCATCAGAAATGAAGCTTACCTCCTACATTTTGAATCGAAATACTCTTTCAGTTGATTAACTTGCACATCTGAATTACAGAATATAGCCACGTTGCCATTTGTACATTGAATTATATCACCCATAAACTCAAACCAATGTTTTCTCAAATTATCGATCATGTACATAATGTGTCTGACAGGCGAGATAACAAGCGCATTTTCTGGCTTCGACACCAGAGTCAGATTGAAATCAGCTGGCTTTTCATTTATGGCTCTCATCAATAAAAAAACTGATCTTTCGATTTGCTTGAGAAACAACAGAATTTGGCCATGGTAAGTATTAGAGACCAAATAAAGAATAAATTGGTTAATTTCTGCAGTTATGTAATCAACATCAAAAATAACAACTTTTGAATTTTCTAAGCAATGTCGATAGAAGTTGACATTAGTGTGATGAATAAGCGGAATTAGTAAAGAATCGTCGTTGTTTATTTTCAAAACATAATGATCAAGATAATCCTCGGCCAAAATAGGTATAAATGTATCAACGGCAGACGTCAGCTCAACCACAGATCTCTGTTTTTCCCAGTGAACAGTTATCAAATCAAAGAGACTATTAGCACCAGTGATGTCCAGTTAAAAAGGTAAAGCCGATTTTTCAACCATTCAAAATAATTTTAAGCCAAATCGGTTCAACCAATTTTGCTTTTAAACTTTTTGCTTTTAAACTTATTGATAAAATAAATTGTAAATTCTTTCCAATTTCTAGTAAATGATGCAAGCATTAACAGTATTCGGAACGCGAACTTCGGCGGACGTTATCAAATTGAGATCATCCGTACACTCCCCTCCCCCTCCCTCAATGACCTAACGTTGAGTGCCCTTCCCAAGCATGTAATAAATCTGAAAATTGATTCTGTATAAAATATGCATTTCATGAAATCGAGCAAATAAAATTGGTATCTATAATTTTGTATGCGAGATTGCAATTGTATATTGGTAATTGCTTTGATTAATGTTTCAATTCAATTTTCTTCAGAAATTTTGAATGAACCTAGGCTATTCTCAAAATTAGTTCATGAAAAATCCATTTACGGGGATTTATGCGGTTGATCCTCAAATTGTATTAAATTTCCAAAATTGCAAAATATCAATCGATACAGCCAGGGGTGGATCTAGGATTTTCTCGAGAGGGGGGAGATGATTTTCAAAAAAGTTGATTTTCCGAGCTCTCCTAAAGCACTAAAAAGACGCTGTTTTTGCTATATTTTCTGCGCCGCAGGCAAACTTTAAAAAAAAACAGGTAAAAACAACATTTTTGGGCATTTTTTGGAAAATGTTGACAAAAAAATCGCGTTTTTTTGGCATTTTTGGGCATTTTTTGGAAAATGTTGACAAAAAAATCGCGTTTTTTTGGCGCGCGCTCCCCCTCAAAGTTAGTATATATTGGGCGCCAACATTAGGGTCGGTCGGCCAAATATGGATTTCTTAAAAAGTACGTTTGGGTCGGCAGGGGGTCGAATCCCTCAGGAGGGGCGTACGCCCTCCCCCCCCCCCCCCCCCCCCCCCCAAATCCGCTACTGTATTAATTGACTTCATTTGGAACTGCTAGTCAAAAAGGATATTGCCAACAATTCGACATTAATTAAATAAATTGTAACAAATTTTTTGCACGTCTTAAATTTTCGAAAGAGTGCTGCTAAAAGTTCAGACAAACAGCGCACATTAAAAAGAGCCTTCTTTTATTTTGACAGAATTTTGCCTTGATTTTCTTTTTATCAGACAACCTTGGCTCACAAATGCTCCTGGATACAGCACGACTGAGTGAAGGTTTGGAGTGGCAGGGGAAAAAAACGACTCATTGGCCTTACTTAGATTCAAAATGCACTCCTGAAAAGCTAATATATGATACGGTTTTAATTGGCTAAAAAGACCTGTATCTAACCAAATCGGTTTAACTAGTTGGTTAAATCAGTTTAACGAACCATTTTTTTAACCAATTGCTTGAACCAATTGTTTATTGAATAGTTATATTGGACATCACTGATTAGCACGCTCGGAACTTTCTGTTACGATCAGTATGGAATCGTCACACTTATCTGCGCGTACCTTCGCTAGCTTTGCTATCGGAATTAGGTAGGATAACAAATAATCTTCCTCATTGTCGATAAATATTAATCTAGATTTCTCTTTTCCAAAGTGGGGCCACAAATAGTTTTGGACATTTGAGATTGGAGCTGGGTTACTTTTCACGAGACCAGTTCGCGACCTTTGATTCAGGTCAGAAACACATGCGGGCTTTTGACGGCATAGGATTGCGCAGTTATGACAAAAAACAAACATATTATATCTAGAACAAGCTACCAAGGTGTACGGAGTCCCATATCATGGTCCCTTTTCAATCTATTACGCAAAGCAAGTCTCAAAAAACAACACAGCCGAATCAAAGAACAAAGAGCCGAATTATAAACGTTGATTAAATATTGCTTGAAAAATCTTCAAAAAAGAAAAAGCACTGATCGTAGTTTTCTAGAGAACATACTTTATTCAGATTCCTCCAACAAAACCGACTGCCAGTTGCCAGATGTTCGCTTCTCTGACAAGCGTCTCTTCAAATGTCTTCTTGTGTCTATGGTTAGCTGCAGATTTTAATTTCAAGATCACAGCTTCCATTAAAGGCAACTCAGACATCATTCTCAAAATTTCAGCTGAGTTTACTTCAGTTACCGCAGTGCGACAACTAGCAATAAAAGACAACTCGCATTAAAAGACTACTCACAATAAAAGACAACTCGCAATAAAAGACAACTCGCATTAAAAGAATACTCGCTATATACTCACCGCCGCAGTCGCTCCAACGTGTTGCGAGCTTGCCAACAGAGGGCAGGACTATATACGAAACTTAGAGCCGGTTATCGCAGCGTAGCACGCCCACCGGTGACCTCGAAGCGAGAATGTAAAGTTTCGAATTAGCTTCAAGAACTTGCGAGTTGTCGCTTTCCGTAGATTTGGCGAGTTGTCTTTTGTTGCGAGCTGTCGCGGTACCTTCAGTTTCGGAATAAAGTCGAGGTTTTCGTTATAACCAGGTCAACTTAAGGTAGGCAACCTTGCAGCTATTATAAGGTATTTCAGATTGGGCATTATCAGGTATTTCAGAGCGGTCATGGTTTCTGATCTATTGACCCCTAACTCTCAATAAAATTCTGAGACTTCAATGGTTGTTTTGCGTTTTCAGCACTATCACACAAAATTGTATAGACTTTGCACCAACAATCCAGGAGAAACAGCTCTTTCAAGTTCCAATGACGAAAGATTGGAACCCAAACGTTCAAGCATAAATCATCATGCTAAACACAACTGATACAATCATCTCCCTTCTGTCTCTGTTGTTTTCTTGCGTTCCCAGTTGAAGTTAAGAGATGCAAATTCGGACAAATAGCATTTGAAATATTTGGTTTGTTTTCTTTCTCATTTTTACAACAAAGGCAGTAGACGGGCCTCCTAACTTGGAATCGCGTGTCAAATGACCCAAATTTAACCCAATTAAACTTATCATTGATTACGACAATTGTTCTTTCATTGCAAACTAACTCCGTCATACGATTCAATGCATCAGCAGCGACATATTTTACACTCTGAAATACAATTATTTCACAATTTTTTTTTTCAGGAAACTTCCGTTTTTAGTTAGAGTCTGCTCAAACTTTTCTGAGTTAAATTGGACTGCAAAGTGGAAAATCATTTTTCTGATTTTCCATACAATGAACTTGGATCTTGTTAACTATTTCCCCCTTTTGCAATAGGGGGTGATAGTTAACAAGGTACAAAATTCGTATATGCTTAACTGATCAATTCTTTCATTATAGGGGGGATATTCGCACCAAGATACCACAGGGAAGAGTAAACAAGATCCCGGATTTCTTTACAGAAAGAGAAAAAATCAAAGTTAACAAGATCCGTGAATTCTTTACAGAAAGGGATTCCAAAAAATTAAGGGATCTGCTTAACAATCACCCTCCCTTTGGTATCTACTAGAGAAATGCCCCCCTATAAATAAAAACAAAAACAGTAAATTAGCTCTAGAGCGTTGCATTTAAAATTCGAGTTTTGCTGCAATCTGATTGGCCGAAAATTCGACAACTTAATCTTCTTAACAATTGTCCTACCCCCCCCCTTTTTAAAGGGGGAGAGGGCAATTGTTAAGTAGATCCGAATTGAGACCTATAGCTGCTTATTTCAGACAGGCAGATGATAGCGCAATAATATCAAGTGCAGATCCACTTCAATTTTTCGATTGCCAATAGGAACACTTTTTCGATTGCGCATGGCATGGGTAGGGGAACAACTAATTGGACCCTTCTAGTCAATTATAGACTGCTTCAATTAATTAATTGGAATGGCCACTCTATCAATTAACTTATTGCAATTAATTGAACTTTTACTAAAATAAGAAAAGTAACCTGACAAAAATCAATTTCGAACTTGATTAGATGATGACTAAGAGCGTTCCAGTTTTTTCCCAAAAAATGTTGTTGATCTTTAATAACATCTGCGCATCATTCATCATCATCATCATCATCATCATCATCATCATCAGCAGCAGCAGCGGCGGCAGCGGCTGCAGCAGCACCATCATCTTGTCTTGTCTTGTATGTCGTTTACAACCCCTGGGGGTCTCGACTGCCACTCCCCGGACACGCAGTGTTCCTATGTCTTGCTACATTTGTTTTTGTGATGGGGATCTCGCAGTCTGGGCATGTGGTCCTGGCTAGTGTGCTCGCACTTCTAAGAGTCATTGTGTCATGTCTTCTCAAACAGTAGGTTCTTCTATGTCTCGCCATGTTCGTCGTGCTAAGTTCTTTCCCACAGTCCGGGCACGTCCCTCTTGGGGCCCCTCCACATTGCTTGGCGTGGTTCGTTCTTTGTGCTTTTTGTTCGAAAGTTGTGTGACATTTTCCACATTCAAATATTAGTTCATTGCGCTTGTGGATTCGTGTTTCATGATGGTCTCGTCCCACCTTTGTTCGGCATGTCTTTTCGCATGGTGGCCAACGACATTTGAACCCTTCCTCCGTGACTGGTTTACCGGCTTGGCTTTTGGTTGGTTTCAGATCTACTTTGTGTATTTCGCACATCTTGTTCTCCCATTCATCCATGGCCTTCTTCCTCTCGTTCACAGTACCCTTCCAATTTTTTCTGTCCATAGTTAGACCTTCGATGTTAGTCCAATCTAACCCTGCCTCTTTTAAAATTCTTTTCCAGTACGTTATAGTGTTGTTCTTCCCATTCTTTGGTCTTTCGCCTACTTCCGTCCAGTTGCCCAGAGTGATTTTCTTTACTGTTCTTGTGTCCGGCATCCTCGTCACGTGTCCTATCCTCTCCAGTGCCCGTGTTTCCATCTTCTGTCGAATTGATGTTATTCCTAGTTGCCTTCTGATCTCAAAACTATTCACCCCTTCTTTCTGCATCCTGTATAGCGCCAGCCCCTTCCCATTATTCCATACGTTTCTGTACGCTATATCGGCCACTCTTTGTAATTTCGAAATGTCCGTGGTTGTCCAGGGTCTCACCGAGCAGTCGAATAGCATGGTTGATTCTACTACTGCTTGGACAATTACCGCCTTGGTTCTCTTTGAGAGAGTTCTCTCTTTTGTTCCTCTTTCTTCTGATCCGTTTGCTGTCGGTTTGCTGGCGGGGGGAGCAGGGCAGCATGTGGCCTTGAAACTTGCGTCCCACCTTCCATTCTCTCCTAGGTCTAGGTAGGTGCAGCCCCAATGTACCCACTTCCCACATCCGTTGCATTTTACTGACCACTCGGTTCTTTGGACTCTTTGATCGCACACTGCACACTTCCACACTTTCGGACCTGGGTTTGGTTCCACATCGTTGTACAGATGTAGGGACACCAGAGATTCCGTGTGCCGTAGGGTGTGACGGATCGCCTTCATCGAGGGACGGTTGGCTGGGCCGTCTCTGTTTTTGGGTGTGTTTGAGAGACTCCGCCCGGTAGTGTGACCTAAGTCTGACTCACTGCCGGGCCTTGTCCCCCCCCCCCCGCTTGGTTTGGTCTTTGTTCGATTTCTCTCTGCGCTTTTCTCCCCGGGCAGGCGCCAAACCATCGAAAAGCACCATCATCATCATCATCATCATCACCACCACCACCACCCCTATTACCATCACCACCACCACCCCTATCACCATCACCATCATCATCATCAACATCATCATCATCATCATCATCAACATCAAGATCATCATTATCATCATCATCATATCATCATCATCAACATCAAGATCATCATTAACATTATCATCAACATCTCGTCTCGTCTCCATTTACTTCCTCTGTTGGGACCTTGGATCCCGTCTCTTGAGGCAAGATTCTTTGTGTTTCGACATGTTGTTCATGGTGATATACTTTCCACATATCACTCAAGGAATCTTTTCCCTTTACCCCTCGTACCTCCCCGTTACCAATTCGTTCTTCGGCTTCTCTGTCGCGTGTCTTGTTCCCCTGCAAGTTCTTCTGTGTCTAGCACTGTTTATAGCTGAGAGGGTCCTGTCGCATTTCGGGTGGTATCCACTTCTCCTCCCTGGCACGATATCAAAGGTCTTCCTTTCTATGTTCGCGTCTCTCATGGTTCGTTCTCACCCCTTTTGAGGCACATATTCACCCGCATCCTTCCCACCTACAAGTTCACCCTACAGTTGATAATTCCAGTTTTCTCCTGACACATTGAGAACTATGAGCCAATTACACATTTCGTTCTCCCAACCCATTAGGTACTCCTTCCTTTGCTGCACCACTCCTTACCACACTTTCCTGTCTTTTGTCAGATTCTCCGAGTTGTCTTCTTTGGGTCCCGCTTCCCTTATTAATCTTCTCCAATATATAAGGGTATTAACCCGAGTCATACCTTTATTCGTTCTCTTTGTCCCGACACCCTAGGACCTCCTTCTTTACAATTCTTTGATTAGGCATCCTGAGTATGTTCCCCATTCTCTGTAGGGCCCTCTTATTTATTTTGGTACGCATGGACTCTACTCTCAAATGGCGTTTAATTTCGAAGCTATTTATCATCTCTTCTTGCATTCTGATTAAAGTTTTGGGTTTACTGTTGTTCCCACGAACCTGTACGCTCTGTCAGCTACACTCTGAAATGTGATGGACTCCTCCTTACTATCGTGACATTTCTCTTACAAATCGCTCATTCTCTTTGCTATTTCTCTTCCAGTCTTCAGTTCTATCTCTGTTCCTATGAGAGTGGAGCCATCAGCAAAAAGTGAGTCCTCCAGCTGGAAAGGCACTTTTTTGCTGCTCCGAAAAGCTTTGCTGGAGCCTTCAGGTGGGAGGCCCCCTCCCGCAGTTCACTTTCACTCCAGTCCACATTCTAATCCCC